ATGACAAATTTCTCCGCACCATCTTCTTTGTACATCCTAGAGAGAGTGCTGCTCCCTATTTCAAACTCCTAACAATCCTTAAATTAGATAATATATATAAATTAAAAATATGTTGCCTTATGCATAGAATGAGAAATGAAATTGGTAGCATTCCAGATATTTTCCTTGATTTCCTGACTCCAGCATCGCGTATACACAATCATAATACAAGATTTGCGTCAGTAATCTGAATTATTTTAGGTCAAGAGTATCCACCAACTTAGGTAAGACGTCCTTCAAAATTCTCCGCTCCAAAAATCTGGGAGACTGTACCGCCTGGTCTCAAGTGTCTGCCATATCATAAGTTTAAGAAAGAATGGAAGCACTATCTTCTAACCAACCAAATGTGTCTGTGACCTTGCTTATATGTTATATCACTGATATTATCTGACATTTTATTTCCTCTCTTTACTGCTGTCGATTATCTGAACATGACGTTGTCCAACGAAAGCTCTTGCTACTTTGGACACTGTACACAAATGAACTTAATGTCTTTTAGTTAATTATTATTTATCAGCTACTTTATTGTCGTACCTACGTACACTTGTGTAAATATCTTATATAGTGTGAAATAAAGAATTGAATTGAATTGAATTCCGCCCGCACTCGTTTCATGAAGCAGATTCCCCACAACGCCTCTTTTCTGAAGGCTGGTTTTCACTGGCGACGGAGTCGGAGTCGGAGTCGTTAGCGGAGTCGTAAGAGCTCTTACGATCTACTGAAAATCAAAAATCGGAGTCGTAAGTGGAGTCTTAAGAGCGACGGAATCGGAGTCAGAAGAAACAGAACGTTTCCCTTTCTACCGACCCTGCTTACGACTCCGTCGCTTACGTTCCGTTCATGATCTTGTGAAAACCAGATTGTCGGAGTCGGAAGCAGAAGCGGAAAGATAAACCAATCACAATCCACGTTTCCATGCGCACGCTTTGTGATTGGTCTAGTTCTTCTGCTTCTGCTTCGAACTCCGACAATCTGGTTTTCACTAGATCATAAACGGAACGTATGCGACGGAGTCGTAAGCGGAATCGGTCAACGTTATATTCACTAGATCATAAGCTCTACGCTTCTGATTAAGACTCCGACTCCGTCGCTAGTGAAAACCAGCCTTTAGAATTCGAGCTCCGAAGTTATTTCCACGAAGACATCCAGTGACGACAAGATGGTGGACGATCAGGATGACGTTTTGTTTCAGAAAGTCCACAAATTTTATTCGCAGTAGCGGCGGTTTTGTTGAATTACCAGTTCTCTTCAGACGTCCCGCACCGCTGGGGAGGAGAAAATCTGCGCCGGAATCGAGGAAGTGGCTGAAGAGTCGAACTGAATTCGTCTTTGTGAAAGATCACAATGGTGACGAGAAAGGTGTGCGAATCAATTTGAGAAAGAAAATCTGCCAGCAGTATGTTTTGCGCGTTTTGAAAACTTAGAAGGGATTTTGGGTTTTTCTGTTCCGTCAATCATTTTAGTGAAGGCGGGGTTAATGCAAATCATAATGTAACGTGCTTGCCCAGCTTGGCTGAGAATGACTCTAGACTGCTCAAGAATAGCGAAGGAAATCGCTATGGTGAGTGGATTCTTTGTCGAAGGCAGGAGGCAGACGTTGCTTTATTCTTACAAGTGACAAGAATGAGAAACATCATAAAAATCTGCGAAGCAAACTTAACTAGTCGATTATTGCCCGGAACAGGACGATCACAAAGCAACGAACCTTGAAACACGAAACCAAGAAAACGGATCGAGATCCACCAATAACGAATCACAAACCATGACCTTTTGAACTCGTGCAACTAACATGAATTTCCTGAGAGGTCCGTTGAGATGATTGACGGAACAGAAAAACCCAAAATATGCAAAACGCACAGCGCGATACAACGAATTTCGCTATAAAAGTAGAGTCGATGTTTTTGCTTTTTGTCGTTCCCACACAACTAGAGCAGAGAAGTAACGGAAGTCAGGTAAACATGCAGTGAAATTTAGGTGAACGTAAACTGATGATGACTAATGCTGACGCATACATGTTATATGGTGCTCAAAAGGAACGTCTTTCGACTTTCCCTTGACTCATAGTTGACTTAAACCGTTTTTCTGCTACGAGTAGTAACTTCTCGTAGAAAACATTTCATCCTCGTTGCCGCCGTTGTTTATCGCATAAGCTTTGCTCCCTTCTACGGACTTTTCTAACCGACAGAGGTTTTTAAATTTCAATCGAGGATCTTAGACCACGTTTTTCGGACTCAGCTTTCAAACTATATCACTCCTTCCAATAAAAAACTTGTCCCTCTAATTTACTGTCAAACTCAGGTGAAAACCGTAAACACCTGAAAAATTTCAGGAATGTTGATTGTGTACTGACCAATCACAATAAAATTCAGGACACGCGAGCAAACCTCAAAACCACAAACTATTTACCATTGCTGTTCGCGGTTTCATTATCTCGCGCCTCATTAGTTTATTTCTCGCAACACAATAACATTCCATAAATATTTCTGGTGTTCACGGTTTTGTGAGTTTCACAGTCAAAACTGTCGGTCATTGCAACTAAGATCCCCACGCAAACCCCCATGTGTTAGCTCCACGAAAATAAGAGTTGAATTATGATTGGTTAAAAAATGCTGACTCACCAGCTCAAGGAAATCGTTTCCCAGCTCGGGTGTAGACGCTCTTTTCTCGGCGGGTGAAGCAAGAGCCCAAAAAGTTGTCTGGTCATAGTTTCGGACGTTTAGGACGACATACGTGGGAACGACTGTAAGAGCGGTTTTAAAACAAAGCCCAACTTAGACCGCGGTTTAAGAAATCATTGGGCCTCCAGGTCTCTTTCTAAGTGGGTTATTTTAAGGAAATAAATGTTTCACCAGTCTACCCTATTGCTGCCATGAAACGTTCACGATAACCTGTGTTTGGATAAAAGCGTTGTTCGGAGAAACTGATTGAAAGTCTGATTTTGTTAAACACTGGCTAAACTCCGTTTAAATAACCGGTCTTTAAGCGTTTTAAGACCTCTTAAAAATGTTCATTTGAAGGTCCGCTGGCTTCACTGTAAAATTTGTCTCCAGTTGAAACTCTTTTTTTCACGGAAACAATTAGTTAAAAATCACGAATATCGGATAAAAGATTTTAAGATTCACGTATCACGACAAGCAAACCATTCACAGTTCACGGATTTTAATTTCGTATTTTCACCTTTCACGAACATTAAAAGCACTTAATTAATCCAGTGTCACGCAATAACCCCTGTCATCCCTCCTCTGTCAAGGAGACTCTCTATTGTCGCCATGTTGTTTAGTTCCAGCGAGAGAGGATCTGGGCACCGAACAAAAACAAAAAACAAAAAAAAACATCATGCGTGGAGTTTGTTTTCATTGAAAATTGACCACAGATTTATTATTCTTCATTTTTCTGAAAAAAATAAAAGTAGATACACATTTTCTTTTCTTTTCTTTTGTTTTGTTTTTTCATTTTTCTATGTCCAGAAAAAAAAAATCGAACATAGGTTTTCACATTTCTGAAAAAAAAAAAAAAAAAAAATGAAAATATATTTTATTTTTCATATTCGTTTGTTTAGAAAGAATATAAAAGTTGAAGCCAATTGTCAATTTTTGTTTTCCATTTTTTACATTGAAAAAAAAAAGAAAACTTAACACAGATTCTAATGACCCTAACATACACGCATTTGTCATGCTTCTTAAATCATATCTGGCAGAGATGTCGGTGTATATATTTATATTTATTTTTCACATTCAGATGTTTTTCTTGGTCAATTTCCAATACGTAGCTAATATACTTCATTTGAAAATCAGGGAATCTAGTTATTCTGCCTAATTAGTCGTGCAAATGTTGTTTTGGAATCACTGAAAACACGAATCGACCGGAGTAGCCATCGGCCGGGCGTGTTTACTTCAACATTTCTAGGGAAAAACCTGCTCACATACATACATACATATACATGCATCACCTTTATTTATCCTCAGATTTACAGTGTAACTATAAAAAAGTAATAAAATGAAATAAATGAAACGAAGGAAATATTAATAGTACTATACGAAAAGAATTAAACTACCTATTGCTTGTATCATTATATTTGTTTAAACGAAATTTGTCGCACTATAAATGTGAACTCCCTAAGTAATGTGATAGACGTCAGATCCTCAGGGAGTCTATTCGACAGAGTTGTAGATGCATACCTAAATGAATGTAAGCCATGAGTTGTTGTCTTAACGCAGGGAACAGTAAGTTTGTTTGTTCCCGGCAGATCGTGTGTCGTAGCTCTTACTTGATACAATCCACCTTCGTAGTAGATATCTTGGCATCGCGTCAAGATAAAAACTATATGACTAACATATCTTGGCACCTTGTACTATATAATTGCTACAATTAATCTCCTTTAGGAGGCTCTGGTAGTCCAGAGATTTCTCGTTAAGGACTATCTTGAGTGCCCTTTTGTTAAGTGTCTCTAGTTTGTCTCTGTTTCGAGCCCCACAAAAGTGCCAAACCGTTTAAGTCTAAAGTATGGTCAGGAGCCTATTACTCATATAGGCTCCTGGTATGGTACTATAAAAGCTTTATAGATTTTACATTTTGCTACCGGTGGTGCTATTTTTCGAAACTAGGATATTACATTGACCTGGTTATTGACCTTAGTACAAATAGTCTTCACATGGCCGTTAAACTGTAGATTCTTGTCAATGTTGTCACTCCTAGGAGATTAATGCTGTCTGTTACAAGTTTCAATGTTGTTGACATGAAAACTAAAAGCGTGATTAGTATTTCCCAACACCATTGCTTGATATTTGTCTGGGTTTGGTATCATACCATTCACACGAAACCAATGGTCAGCTTTGAGAAGACTAAAATGGCATTTAAGTCTCGCTTCTAATCTCACTGGATCATTATCCGAATCATAAATCTGCTCATCGTCAGCGTAAGCATTAATACTTACTCCGGTCACATACCAATCAGAAATTCTTTTATTGTTTTTTGCTGAAACCAACCAGACACAATCTTGCTCCAGGGTTCCCCAGAGCTCTTCCTCCCTGGCCGTCATGCGCCGAGAAGAGCTCTGGGGTCAAGACTGGGTCTCAGGTCCTTGTGACAATAAGTAGACAAAGAATTTACTTTGTTGCTTATGAATAAAATTTGTCTGCAGCGCTTATCTTTAGGCCAAAAAAAAGATATGGTTGCATGTTTAACAAATGACAGTTTGTGCTGCAAAACTAGAGAAAAAGGCAAATAAATGCTAGCAGTGTTATTTTTGGAACATAGATGAAAATCCTGCTCGTTATGACTAATAGTCCAGTTTCGAATTCGCTATGACCGCTGAATTAAAGAAATGAAGACGCATTTTTTACAGGCTTAGCCGCCTCCATCTAAAGTAATAAATTCACAAATTCCAACGAGAAAAAGACCGGTTTATTACCCTGTCTATTGTTTATATTCAAATTTGAAACACTTACTTGCCGGAATTTCTGAATATTTTACTTTATGTGAGGTTAAACCTGTATGAATGTGTCCTAAATGTTTGTATTTAGAGGTAATTTTTAATTCGAAACTGAACTATTACGTTTTCCAAAAACTAGGCTGGCAAAATCTATGAAAGCTTTCGTTGCCACTACCACATCTGCTAGTGAGGCGCCTCGAGCTGTGGAGTACTCGATTATGTACTCAGGGTACAACTGGTCATTTTGAAAAATGACGAAAATGGATGGAGAGGACATGTTATCCACACATGAATCGTACAGATCACTTGCGGGATTCCCGGGATTCTTTGAAGGTGGTCTTTGATAACTGAACTTGCCTTCAGCATACGAGCCAGCGAGGACCTTGGCGACGAACATGAACTTAGACCTTTTGTTGTCTTCCTTGGCGTACCAGTCGCTCGTGGAGGAGTTTACAGCAAAATAGCTTCCTTGTCCGTAAGCAGTCCCGTTCTTCCCATTGACACGCCAGTCAAAGTTCTGTTTGCAAATAGCTTCCACTACATCAGGGTTGGTCCCATGAAACAACCGCATTTCGTTTACGAACCTTTCCTCGGCGGAACCAGTATGGGCCGCTGCCATGTTTTTCTTTTTTCTGAGTAAATTCAAACAGTGAAATCAATTTTAATTTCCACTCAATGCGAATACTACTACAAGATTTGATTTTTAGTTAACGCTACGTTAAAAACAACTAAAAAAAGCTATAAACATAATAGATGAAGGGTGTAAACTACCCGCGCTTTTTTAATCAATTGTCACGCGGCTATCGACACCTTAATCTCGTGACAACTTCGAAGACGGTCAGTTTGCTGATAAAAACTGTGTTAGAAAGTCGGAAACCTCTACGGTTTTAAATCTACGACACTAAGCTAACTGAGAAGATCGCGCATCCGTATCCTACAGGCTGCAGCTTCGCGGGGTGGGTTCGGCCTCCGGCCGACACCGGAAAATCCCGCCACACGTGAGGAAAATCACCTGGTACTCAGGGTACTTGTCAATCGTCCTAGAGAACGGGATGAGAGATCTAGATCTGGATACGAGGCTACCTTATTGGCTGCAATGAGCAAGAGCGAGGAGTGTGAGTCGCCACAAGCAACTTAAGTAAACAGGGCGAAAAAGGGTTGGAAATAAGCAGCTTAAGCGTTTTTAAAATACCGTAATAGGACACCTTACTGATTAAAAGTATTTGACTACCTTTGGTACTTTTCCCACTCATAAGGGTTTTGCACTCGTTCGATGGCAAGGATTTCCACACTCCATTTAAACGAGTTTTTAAAAAGTTCTTCTATTTCTTTAAATTCGTCAGTAGTCGGTGATAACTGAACACGCTGATATGGCGTCGTGGATTGCATGTGAGACCAATGGCTTGGCTTATCAGTGCCTCTTGTGTTTCCCTCTTGCTGATTGTGAGCTGGGAATGCTCTCTGAGACCTAGTGGAAAAAGGTACATCAAGCTGCATCATTACATTTATCTCAGTCCCTATGGTCCATGACCTGATTATAACTTTATATAATAACGGAGTCCAGGGCTAGCACTTGTGACCTTTTTATTAATTACTTCCCCAGAGGCAGTGCTCTCTATTTAACAATTATTCTTCGAGCCCGAATGGGCTCCGAGCGGCCGAATGGGCTATTGACTCGAATAATTATTTTAGTAAGAAAAAAAATAGGAATAATTGTTTTAGTAAAATCAACTAGTTGGTCAAAAATATCACGACAAACAACTTTAGCTAGCAAAACGCGATTCAACGGCCATTGTTTTGGTTTTCAAAGCCGGCGCTTTTCGCTACTAGTGGGCTATAACGTATAGCCTAGTAGTAGCTCAACCAATCAGAACGCAGCTTTGATAATAGACCACTAGTTAGATTTTACTAAAAGTGTGCCTTATACCGGGAGAGTCCACGCAAAAGGGGTACCTATTTTAGGCATGAGGTATTTGAAAGGTTAGGGATTTAATTAACTGAAGTATATGAAAGGGTAGGGAATCTGTCATTTTGGTCTGTAAAAAGGCCAAAAACGGCTAACAAACGGATGCGAAAGAGACAAGAAACCTTCCTGGTCATGTTAAAAGGGACGGTGCATTCACATTCACGGTTAAAAGGGGATGCCGCTTTCTACACTAGGTTATGTAAAAGGAGTACCGTTTGTCAAAGCAAGGTACACGAAACGGGTTAATTTTCTGTCAAAAATTGTATTCAAAATGGTAGGGGGTTGGACCTCTGGACGGAGCCTCCCCTTAATTACCCCGAGTACCTCTTCCGGGTAAATTCTAGAACACGAAGTACCTTTTGAGTTGAGAAATGTCATCCTTAGAAAAAAATTTTCCAGGCCTTCTTCTTACTCTTTTTTTCGCGCCGTAATTTATGTTTTTCTGGCTCATGCTACTTGATGAGTCAAGGGTTAGAATGTAATCATGGTTGCTAATCCGAAACTTGAAGTCTTTTTGCTTGTTCCAGAAGGCTTTCTCCAGAGATTCTTGGAGATCTTTTCCCTGTGAATGGATATTTAACAGGACCGTCAGCATTAAACTCTGCAGGCTATCTATTAAATGTTTGACATTTGCAGAAAATAATTATTTATTATATTATAACACAGCAAAGAGCTAAAAACCGCCAAATGGGTATCCCAGGCCACCACTCCCATTGCCTCCCTTCTACCATAGTGTGGGTACGGGTATGGATTTGATTGTGCGTTGCCTATTTCTTACCGTTACAAGAGGTGTTATTATCCGAACCCCAAGAAAATATATCCCCCCTTTTAATCACCGTGTCGTCTTTATCGTACATCCTCCAGAATCCACTTTGGTGTTGCCAGTACCATATCCACTTGGTAGCCAGTGGGTTGTTTGAGTTGACGTAAGACTCTGTCGATAGGCGTCGTAGTTTCTTTCTCGACTTGACCTTTGCCAATTTCGAATTCTGTATAATCAGTGTCTTATCATCGAGCCAAATATCGACATCATACGTCTCTTGGGCATGCAAAAGTTCATCTCTAAAATATAAACAAAAATGATAATTTTGTCAACTGCTGCTGGAGGCCTGTGACGTCACCAAGAATGGTCGCCATCTTGGCTGACATCTTCGATTTTACCAAGAATAGAAATCAGGCTAAAACCGCGAGAAATGGTAATTTTTTGTGCTTGAAATGAAAAATAACACTTGAATAAGCACTTTGCATGATTTAAGCCCTAAGGTTTACTTTTATTGTTGAAAGAAGTTGAAAAAACATGCTTTTTCACTCAAAAATGGCTTGACCGCCTGCTACTTATGACGTCATATCTCGTAACCATAGAAACTGGCCATCACTGAACTTGTCTCAAGATGCGCGCAAGGGATAAACGAACACGTCAGGTGCTGATGTTTTATCCTCTAGGAAAAATGTCAGAAAAACCTTAGGGGTGGTGGCTTCTCCCCCCTTGTACTTATGCTTGGATTAATTTCTTCATAGTTAACCAAAACTTAGGTTCAGTAAACTAGCCTTCTCAAACTCATTAATAATTCATTAAGAAAATACAAAGGAAGTTAATGTTTCATGAGTGTTTGGAAATCGGATGAAACACTGCTTAGTATTTGCATCCTTAATTTCTCCTTCAAAAATGAAGTTCGTCAAAAATACTCCGCTGCGCGTCGTATTTTCAACTCTCTTCTCGGTGTTTCATCTGGTGATGAAACACTGCATCTCATGTTTGATATATTACTTAAAGCATGTGGGTTTTTAACCCTTTATATCAGCCATCTTTATCATCATGTGCCTTATGTTTGCCGTCCTCCTTTGGTATCTTAATATTTTCGTTGTAATTTGAAGCTTTCAATTACGTTCCTTCATATAAGAAATTCAAATTTTAACGACAGACAAACGGCATGCCGAAAAATGCCTTGAGAACTTAAAAATGTTATTAATATTTTTGTTCAGATGACAATCACTAATGTAGCATAGTTTTACGCCCTAAAACTGACTTAAATTAAACAATGCTATATGCCTGGCCAGTGTACTCGAGTGGCAAGTACCTGCCTGGAACTATATGTGATACTGATTAAGCCGCTCTGCAGTAATTCTTACACGCTGTTTTTACCATCTCTGGCCAACGGGCATACTTTAAGTTATGCGCCCTTTCTCATGGAAAATTGATTAAGAGTGAAATATGTTCACTAACTTCTCAATATAGTTATATTAGTGATAATGAGTTAAATATTAGTGTATTAAATACTAGAGCAGAGTATTGTAACATGCCTTTCAAATGATTTGTAAATGCCCGTATTTAAACTTTTCTCAAGAGTCTCGTCACAATACATTTTTTCAAGCCTCTCGTTGTCTTCCTCATTCAAATTCTTCCATTCATGGTCATTGCAATCGGAATATTGCCACTGGTAAGGCAAAATGCAGTGATGGCCGGTACACTGGGAACCATTCTTACATTTGCCAAGAATAAACTCTGGGCAAATGGGTGCATCTGGGTTGCCCCAATGAATGTGTTCTGAGAAAGTGAGTAAAAGAATGTAAGTTAATAAAAAAATGAAATAATTATACGGAAAAACAACCACGTGATTTCATAATAATACTTCTGTGTTAGTACACTGCGAAAACAGTCGTTTCTCCTCGGTCATCGCCGCTGGGGGACGTTTCACTAGGAGAAACGACGTTTTCCTCTCGAAACGTCCCAAGCGGCTAAGAGCGAGGAGTTCGCAGGCTACTGTGTCAGGCCCTTCTTGTAGGTTTATTAAAATAAACAAATAAAACCGAATAAATCAATAAATCAATAAATAAATACTTATTTAATTGTCCTCAAACCTGTTTATAGGAAACTAGAAGAAGCCGCACCATTAGTGATAATAGAAAAGAATTTCGTCTCAGGGTTATGCACTGACTGGAAATAGTTACCCTTTTTTTTACTGTTAGGGTCAATTGTCGCTATTAATAACAGTATCTGTGAATAAAAGGGATTTTCTGTGCGTATCGAATCCGAAATAATGTAGTAGTTTTGACGATGGATTTCAGTGTTATCGGCTTTAGGTCGATTTCGGCTTGCTCATTCCACTTTTAAAATTTCTTTTCTTCAGAAAAATGAAGGGACTCTGATTCCATGTATGTCATCTATTTACATTCGTAGACTGTTTTTAAACCCTTACTTTTCTTGTTTTTTGTACGTATGTAGTGTCTGCTTAAGCCGGTTTTTTTTCCAAGTAATTTCAAAAATAAACGATTTATAAGCTTCGGTTTTAAATTCTGGCTTATAATTTTACTATCCTAAGGTGGATTCTATTCGAGAGACGATTGTCTTTCAAATAGAAACAATACAATTCGTATACGTACGCTAGCTAGGATCAGCGCAGTTTGTTGTTTTTTTCCTCTATTTTTCTCATCACGAGGGGCAAGAAGACATGCCGTTGTCCAAGGTAAATGATCCTTTTTTTTGATCTTCGGTTTCAGTTTTGGTGGTGAAAAATCCATATGATCTGAGATCACAGATCCGTTTTTGAATTCTCCCCCAAACACGCACCTCTTGAAGGTTGTACAAAGGGAAAAAAAGAAACAACAACAACAAAAGGATTGAGGGGACTGGGGAGAGGGAAACAGCGAGAGCCCGTGATGAATTTTAAAGTGATCAAGTTTTAGTGAACGCGTACCCTGCGAGCAGAGTCTCCTTCGATCTTCCTAGAAAAATTGGGAAGAGAAAGGAGACTCTACTCGCGGCATGCACAATTCCTTTTGAGCATGCTCCAAATTCAAAAGTAACCGAGCCTCCGCGGGCCTCGCTTTCAAATGGAGTGATTTTTTAATGAGTAGGAGGCGAGACAAACGTATCGTTGCCACACAGAAAATTATACAGAGACCTTGAAATCCGTCCGATTTTAACTTTGTAATAGCACATTTGACGACTTTTTCAAAGGCTTTGTACGAAAGCGAAGAGCTGCCATGTTTTGTCGATTGATTGACAAATTCGTAGACTTGAAAAAATCGGAAAAAGTTATATTTCGTTTTAACAATATTGATCCACATGTTTGTAAAAAAGTCTTGGCCAGTATGTCTATGAAGCATTTCAACTTAGAGAATATTATTCCATAAAACAAAAGCATGGGAAATGGAGATTTCTAATTATATCTTTTAATTAATTCTATCTGTTTATTGATTATATTAAATATTATTAAAACTCAATTGTAATAGTTTAAAAGCAGTACCGTTTCTGTATATGGGAATGCTAATAAAATGTTATGTTATGCCGTGGGCACGGAAAAAGTCAGCGGTTCTCATGATTGAACATGCGCACCAGGGGAAAACCGGTATTACCGGTTGAAACTTCAAGGTCTGCTAAAAAGATCATGTCCCTTATTAACTAAAGTGTCAGTAACAAGGTCCTTGTATCTAGCAATTGCGAAGCCCCACCTTTGTTAGACACTAAAAGTTAAGGTTGAGTAAGTTAGAGACGTGGCACCAGATGGATTTTAAGTTTGAAGCCAGGCCTGATGTCATATGGGGAGAGGCTGCTCTCCTTGGATATGCTGCCTCTTGCTTACGATCGAAAAATCAAGGATCTCGTTTTCTTTTACAAAGCTGTCTACGGCTTCATTGATATAGATGTCTCTAACTACGTAACTTTTAACAATCATCAACGTACATACGCAGCGTGGCCAGTCTGCTGGCTGTTATCTTACTGTTCCGGCCTGTAAGACCCGCACTTTGCAAGCTTCATATTTTGTCCGTACGGGGGGGGACAACTTATGCAATGAAACTGTCCCTAGTGGTGTTACCTCTCTTAGCTGTTTACAATTATTTTTGAAGAATTTACATAATTCTCTTTTAATGAATGTCTTTGATGTGGACACGGTCTGCTAATGGTCAATCTCTTGCGAACGTCCATGACACTCGCTGAATATGTTGTGGTTCAATTTTATCCTTGGTTTAAATTTTATTTTCTTTTGTTTTTGGGTATGGTTATGTATGATAATGAGTTTGAAACAAAAGAAAATAAAATTTAAACCAAGGATAAAACTGAACCACAACATATATACTTTATTTTTCATTTTGAATATTAGATTTCTTTACAGTTAGACGGAAATTTTCTCCCATTAAAGTTTTCTACAATTAGATTTTTCTCCTACTACAACTGGATTTTATTTTTTGTATGTATCGTTTAAAATTCTTATATTTCCATAGGTTTGGCAGCCTGCATGGGTCGAAGTGTTCCGTTAGTACCCTGCCCTTTTGGTCTTTAATTCTTTCCTGTCTTTCATGTTTGTATATTTCGACCTGTTTTTGATCCTGCCCAATAAAGCTTGAAATAATAGGCCAGTCACAGTCACAGTACAACAAACGCTAAGGACTTCGAACATGAATTAACTGTTTACCATTGGACAAGTTTTGGGTACCCGGTGTATCAGAAATTTTAACAAACAATTATATTATAAGAACTTTTCACTTTATTCAGTTAATGATAAGCACACATGATGTGAGCTACGTTTTGCTTGAACATTAAGAAAAAAACATTTTCTGGAACCAAAGTAACATTGTGAAAGGTTTGAACCCAGGAGTAATTTCAAAAGTAGATTGAGTTTGGCAGACGACCAATAACATCACGACGTAATTGACCAATAAAAATCAATAACCAGAGTGTGATACCATCAACTGACGTGATACAACTCACTTTAACTCTGAAGATGACTACCGCACAGGTTGTCGAAACGTCAGTCACTGTCAACAACAACAGTCCTATTCAGGACTACGTTCACCCGGACAATCAAACTCAACCTACTTTTCAAAGTAACATTATTTTACGAATCGGGTATAATTTGAGCTTTTTTTTGAGGGGGTGGGGGGGGGGGGGGCGTAAAAAGAGATTAAATGCCAGTTTTACTAGCATAATCGGGAAAGGCCTAGAACCCCGGCTAAATATTTCGGTAAGTAGGCAAATATTTGCGGCCCGCACAGGGCAGCTACCTATTTTTGTCTTGAAAGCGTCTGAGAACTCGATTTGTTGGGTAGTTTGTTTGGTAATTTGTTTGGTAGTTTCGAAGTTTGTTTCGCTGTTTTACCAGTTCCCAGTCCCCGCCGCGTAGCACCTTATCCAGTATACAAGCAGAGTACAATGGCGGCCAAAATTTTTTATCCGAGAATTTTGTGACCGCTAGAAAGTGAAAATCTATGATTCTTTCTGAACACGCCTTAAAAGGAAATGGCGAAAAACTTATTAAAGCGTGTCTTAGCACTCTTGAATCTGTGACCTCTTGGTTAGACATTCGTATGAGGTTGGCAGTCGAGAGTCGGACGCGAGTGCGAGGAACAGTTTAACATTATCTGGGGATTTCTTGTAACGCTGCCAGTAAGTTACTCATTTGCTTGTCATGTCAGTTGAAAAGTTACGTTTTTTGGGAAGGTAGCGAACGTTTAAGTGAAGATTCGAGGGGGAGACAATGTTCTTTCATTTTCGCAGCACTGTCGTTCCATGAGCTCAACCAGTTATCAGCTGTAGATCATTGTGGATCACGAACACAGTCGATGAAATCTTGTTGCGAGGGGACAATTAGTTTCAAAGCGCCCTAAACAATCCACTCAGCAGAATCGTTTTCAGCGGATAACTTTCCTGTTGTAGTTTACTACTTTTTCTAAGGAGGTGAATGGACGAGACGAACAAAAAGAATTACAATTGAGGTCATAATTTGCCCTGGCAAAGAGGCGAATCAGAATGAAACGAGCGATTTGCTTACCGAGGTGGGCAAACTGAATTAAGGTTTTCCTGTTCATTTAAAATACTTATTTGTATTGATCTCATGAAATAAAAAAATGAATACGACAGAAACGAACATGTTCAATTCAGTTACAATTCACTAAGTCGAAGATACTTTCTGAAACCTTTCTTTTAAATATGTCTTCATTGTGTATTTGTCAGTAACAATCCACACGGATTTTGGAGTATGCATTTTACAAACAACATTTCATTATACAGCGTTTATTTTAAAAACATAACTATAATATATTAGTGAGATATATAAATGCTTGTTGTTATTGATTAAAATCTTTGGGAATTCATTGCTTGCATTCTGCTGTATGTTTGTTTTTATTTGAAACTAATTCTAAGAATTATAGTCACACATAAGGATAAACCTGAACACAAAAACAAGCTTTTAAAATTGTGTTACTAGTTGCATAATTTTAAGGCCTTTAGGTATATATCATTTCTGTGCTTGGCAATGTTAAGATTTTGTAAAGGAAAGGTCTGATTAAAGGAATAACTTGTAATGGGGGACTGGGTACTACTAAAAAAAAACCTTTTTCCTCAGAACTACTCACCTATTCAAACTCATCCTCGGAGACCCAGGGGCAGATAGTGGGGGCGAGGGAAAGTCTAAACGGGCGGAAAAATATGGCACGAAGAAAAGTAAAGAACGGCGCGAAGAGCCCCTGGGGACAATGTCTTACCAGACCAGTTCCAAACGGTCGCTGCCGTTCTGGCTTCTGATTGGTGCCAGAAAACTCTTGTGTTTTTCTGTCCAATCAAAAGGCAGAACGGCCGTGACCGTTTGGAACTGGTCTGGTAAGACATTGGCTGTCTTTACACTAGGCTGTTAAGTAAGACTTAAGAGCTGCTAAGTTTTACTTAACCAAAAATTGGTGTGTGAAGGCCTAAGTAAAATCTCAAGTGACTTTACTTTGCATCTCATTTAAGTTGGAAAGTTGAAACGATTCAAGAAAGTTTCAAGCGACTTGAAAACCATCCTTAAAATCGACTTAGCTGACGTGCGAAACACGTCAGTCAATCGTAATTATGTTGCATGGGAAAATAGCCTTAAGTTAACCTGAAGTAAAAAAGAATCGGTTGTGTGTGAAGCTTTATTTTACTTGAAGTAATTAAAATTTACTTGTCTTGAAATATTTCTGAGCTCATTTAGGCTCTATTGTAAAGACTACCATTGTCCCCAGGGGCTCTTCTCGCCGTTCTTTTCTTTTCTTCGTGCCATATTTTTCCGCCCGTTTAGACTTTCCCTCTCCCCCACTATCTGCCTCTGGGTCTCCGAGGATGATTCAAACTGTTGCCATGCACAGTTTTGTAGTTCTTTATGTTGTAAGTTGTCTTGTAGCAATTAAAATGAATAACTCCGAATTTAAACTGCTGCCATTTTTGCTTAAAGGCTTTTGGGAATTTGTGGCCGTAAGAGATCACGTGACCTAATTTGCACAATGTCGAGGTGATACAAAATATAACTTTTCGAGAAATCGTATGTTATACACAATTTACAGCCTTGCGATAGATAGTTACGAACATACGCCACCCCCTCATCTTTCAACGAAAATACCTTTCGACCGATGCCTTAATTTATTTGTCAATGAGCGGACGTCAAAAGGAAAGGATGACAAACAACGAAAATTTAACTTCCGTTTTACTATGTTATAGAAAACGTAATTCTGTTTTCCTATAGCATACGGCGCGAAAGCGAAAAGCGAAAATAGAGATTAAATTCTGTTGTTATTGATATAGGAAAACGAAAGATGAAATGGCAAAAGAGAAAATAGGAATTCGTTTCTCTGCGAGAGCGGAAACTGATTTGAATATTCAAACCGAAAATGAAAGTCACGCCGTTTTTTTTATGGGCGAAGTAATTATAATGGACACTGGGAAAGGGGAATGAAAAATAAAATCGAACTACATTTTCCCGTTATCAGTAGCAGCTCAAAATCGGTTGGGACGAAGATACACGCTTTGTAGAGAAGCATTGTAGGTTTTCAATTACTACATTCTCATCAGTTGTTCGGTTAGAAACAAACAGGGTATTTAAAAGTAAAAGTAAGCAATCATATATGAAATTGAAATTGCTCTAATATACTCACCCTTTCGTTCGAGCCAAACACCTACGACAGCAAACGTAATAAAAACGCATGCTAAGAAACCGACGATCGACCAAAAGGAAGAACAAACTGCAAAGGCTGATGTTGAAACTATTCCCAGCGGAAAGAAAATTAACAAAAAGCCATAGGAAATGAGGGTGTATATCCAGATGAATACCTGTTCGATGAAGAAACAACTCAGTTTCATTATCAGCCACAAAACTGCAATCCCGAGCGCCAATAAGAAAGCGTTGTCCGGCTGCATTGCTCTGATAATTCTCGCGGCCGCGAGCAAAAGCGAGTTTATAATTTTGTCGGCGCAGATTACGAAAGGATCGCAAGCGGAGTGTGATGCGGTTTGGTCATAAACCTTTTTTTATCGGTTTGGTATCCGCAGTTGCCTAGCAACAAGCCATAAACAAATCCTAAAGACGCCATTCAGCATGACGTCATCGTTCATTCTGGGTAACTGACGCATCATTGGTGACTAATCTCTTCCGAGCAGCTGCTGCATCTCCCTGGGTTTCCTGTGTTAACTTATGTTGCCGAAACGCCCGGCGAATCGCAAAGTATTTCTGAGGCAAATAACAGCGGGCTGCAAACACAACAGTGCCGGAATGGACAAGCTGGAAATCCTTGTCGTGGAATATGCAACACCGAAAGAACGGTGACCTGAACTTCAGCGAGAGCAGCGAAGAAGAAAGACCAGTGCGTTCATCGAGATCGAACGGCCTATATAAAGCCCGAGAGTGATTTAACACGGAAATAATGCGAAACGGTTTTCTAAATACTCGTTTAACTTAAGCTATTTTCCTCAAATGTATCTTTGAATTCATGATAAATACAGCTCTATAAGGTTCAAACAGAGTGAATGGCAGAGAAATATATTTCGACACTTTTAGCTTTAACACATTTCTTTAACAAGATTTTGCGCTGGAGGAAGTTGGGGTGCGGGTTCAAATCCCAGCGGGGCTACTTCCATTTTTTTTTTTCGTTTTTTTTCTTTCATCGTATTTTGCTCTTTGGCTTGTTTCTGTTTATTCCCACTGCTGACCCTTTTAAGCTTCGCGAGATTTTTTTGCGATAACGTATTTCTAGTTTAAACCTACTAATTCAAAGGACTTCTTCGATGAACACTTGGCTTCTGTATACAGTAGCCCATAATCATCAATTGCGTAATGGCGTTACAGGTGACTGGGAAATTGCCAGTAGTATACCGGAAGCGGAAATAGGCCACACAGTACAGGCTGAGAGAGGTTCCTTCCTTGAAATGTAGCAAGCTCCCTCTTTCCAACATCAAGGCTGCTAATTGAATGTTTGATTTATTTTTGTTTGAAAGAAAAAAAAAATAGTTTTGAGCTCAATATTATGAATAGCAAGTAACAGGTATGTGTCATTATGTTAATCTAGTGGAAAATGAATGCAGTATTTCGCAAACAAAGACAGGTGTGAGTCGTTTTTATTTTATTTTTTACCTTGGTCCGTCATTATTCATAAGGAAAGAAGGAGAACTAACCGATGTTACTACCTATTGTACTGTTGCACGGTAAGGAGCGTAATCCCTGGGGCAAATTGACTAGCGCTGTCCAATTCAAGAGATGATCCAAATCAGTTGGGAAAAAATGCTTAGAATTTCTGAGAATGTTGCTCAAAGCTTGCCCCAAAATGTTAATGATGATTTTAATATTTGCTACAACAAGTTATTTTACTGAAGCAAAATTAAGCGAAAATGGGTACTTATTTGAGTTTGATTGGGAGGGGGAAGGGGGTGGGCGCTAATTCGAGACTGGGCGCTTATTCGAATAAACACGTTATTTTACCATTATTTTGACACACAACCTTTTCCCGCAAACGCAAGGCCAATTGCAATGAGGATGCTTAAATTGTCAGCCATAATAAAATTCAGTGGGCTTTTTTTTTGCCGTGATGGTGGGTGCATGGTAGTGTCTATTCCTCTGTATATCAATCACTGAAAAGAGAAAATATTAGCATAGCGACGCTGAAAGTCAAGACCAGGAACGAGGACGTGTCAAACGGAAGGGAAAAGGCTGAAATTCTTAGTAAGCAATATGAGGGAGTTTTCGTAGCCCAAAGATGTCCGACAAGACTTTAACTACCCCAGAACGACGAAACTCACCATAACTACCAAAGGCATTGAAGACCTGCTGAAGGTTAATCTTTTGAAAGATAATGGCCCAGACAAGATACCATCACGAGCCCTAAAGGAGTGTGCACCCCAGATTGCCCCATACTTGACAGTCATAATTAACCAGTCACTTACTAAGCAAGACCTACCAGAAGACTGGCTAGACGGAAATGTTTGTCCGATGTGCAAGAAGGGAGAAAGGGAAAGATTCAGCTAAATATAGACTTGTCTCCCTTACGTGTGAGATCTGTAAAGTTATGGAGCTACATACCATCATGTTTTTGGACATCTGAGCCACTAGGGCTACCGGTCCTGGATTTTTTCAAGGCCTTTGACACGGTGCAACACAGGAAATTGTTAAAGAAACTAGAGCAGTATGGGGTTAAAGGTCAAGTTTATGACTGGATTGCTGCATGGCTAACTAGAAGATCACAAAGAGTAACCCTGGATGGTGAATGCTCAGCCCCAGCCAAGGTTTCTTCTGGTGTCCCGCAAGGGACCATTTTGGTCCCTCTGATGTTCTTAATCTACATCATTGACATCGGAGATGGTATATATTCTAATTTAAGGTTGTTTGCGCATGACAGCCTCCTCTATTTGGCAATTGACACACCAAATGATGCTCCTCAGTTACAAAATGACAAAACCACTTGGGACAAACTGTCACAGTGGGCAGCCAAATGGCAGACTGTCGTTTAACACCGACAAGTGTAAGGTATTGACAGTCAAACTAGGAAATAGAACCCAATTCAGCATCCAATACGAAATCAACGACAAGAAGACACTTGAAGCATTGGAAAGTCATCCGTACCTCGGTGTGGAGTTAAAAAGCAGTCTCAACTAGAACAAGCATGTTGAGAACGTAATAGTCAAGGCTAATAAATCATTGGGCTTTGTCAAGAGAAATCTAAGGCGGTGTCCAGACCGAGTGAAAGTCCAAGCATACAGCACTCTGGTCCGTCCACATTTAGAATACGCCAGTTCTGTATGGTCGCCACATCAAAAGTACCAGATCAATAGTATAGAGGATGTACAGCGCAAGGGGGCCCACTTCTGCAAGAACTGCTCGGATGGAGAACCGAGGATAGGGACTCGTTTGATCCAGGAACTTAACCGAGAGCCTTTACAGATGACACGAGAAAGAGGAAGGCTGGTGCTGTTATCCAAGATATTCAGGGGTATGATGGCTCTCCAGATGCCATCATATGTCCAGCCACCACATTACAGCAGAACCCGTCAGTAATATACCATCCTGCCAGATACATTGCGTGAACAGTGGCAGTAACGAGTACAAGGGGAATTTCTTTCCCGCCACGATAAACTTGTGGAACAGCCTGTGGCCTGGAAAATTTTTTATATGAATCTATTTATCAATTTATTTATCACGTCCTTGTCTCTTTTGCATTATTACTATTATTTTTGTTTCTTATGGCCACGTGATGGATATGCTTTTGTGGATTATTTGGATAAACTTAAACCTTAACGTAAAAGCCTCTTTATTTTTTTTGTCTTTGAAACTGCTATTTTTTTCCAGGTGGACCGGGATTTGCTTCTTTTTTCAATGGAATTACATACTGACTTTTCAGGGTGTTGTTAATATTTTCGCGCAGTGTGACTATAAACCATGATTTTTTCTTCCTTCCAGAAAATTGTCCATTAAGTGTTTGAAAACAAGATTGTGTGAGGTAAATTCATCACGGATTGTGACCAGTGTATGACCGTGACTATCACCCTGGACCCTGGTCACTCCACTCGGTTAAGTTTTCCTCATAGTTTTTTGGTGTTCATGGTGAAAAATAGTTGACTGACTTCCACTCATATCACAGTTGTTTTTTATTCGTGAAATGGCCTTTTAGTTTCCTTCATCAACCTCGTAGGCATAATGGAGTGGTTCCGTATTGAGAACCGCGAAAAACTGAACCTTGAAATGCATAAAGGCCGGCGATTGGAGCCTTCACAAAATGTATATGCACACATTCTGGCCGGTTTGAACTTAACTCTCACAATGCATATCTCACTGGATTTATGAAAACATGGCTTCAGTGAGTGTCTAAAGGTCCTATGCTAAGAGCGTCCTGGGTACCAAGACTTTTACCCTCCCTACCCAGGACAATGGGTGACTGTCTGCACCTCCCACTGAGCTCTGCAATTATCATGATAACCATTCTCAGCAGACGCCTGATTCATCTGGCTAGGGAAAATTAAGACCAAGGTACTCGCCAGTCAAAGCGGCCCAAAGCCTGCTCTGAACACTGCTGCTTACTGAAGGGAATATGTCAAAACAGCCCCCTCCCTACCCTACTAGTTTTGACTCCAAGGCCTGATCCACCCACCCAATGTTAGGGCAGTCCCAGGGCTATCCAGCTGTACTGACCAAGACGGCAAGCCCCCTACATTTTTGGGCACCGGTCTGGCCTGAAGCCGGGCTTCGCCCGGCGCCAGGCGAAAACCCAGTGGCCACGTTTTAACGAAATCAGACATATAAATTCAGGTTTTTTGTCTTTTACATTAATAGATACCATAGAAAAAGAATATCTGACCAGAAATAGTAAGCTTGCAGAGCCAACCGACCTATTAGAAAGTCAGAACAAAAATCTTTAAAAATAGCTTTATTTTAAAAAGCTTAACTTGTGTTACTGCAAAATACAGCAAGGATATATCAGCCGGCAAACCAAAAGAAGTTCCATATTGTACTTGTTAAAGACGTTGCCAGGATCCAGGCATGCATATTATGCAAAATCTATTAAAAATCAACTTCGATTCGTCCCCTTGGATTTTTGTGTCTAAAAAATCGCACAGTTAGCGTTTCCATATCCACGTGGAGTAAAATGGCGAGGTGGAACACACGTGCTGAGTAGTAATTACAAATAATAATGATAATAATAATAATAATAATAATAATAACGGTTTATTCACAGGTTCTCTATATGGTAGCTATACATATGTGAAAAAAGAAAAACTATTTACAAGAAAAAAGCATTTTACAAGAAATTATAACTGTATATATTATGCAAAAATCTATTTACAAGTAAAAAGCAACTACATGCATTTCTGCTAGTCTGAGCTGTGCCCTTTGTTTAAAAACATTAGTAACTAATTGATTAAAACGATGAAAAACATTACATGATCTTAAGTTTGCAGGCAGGCTGTTAAAAAAATTGGCTGCTGAGTCCTGAAAGGTATGCCGTTCTCCATAGAGATAGCTGTAGTGTATCACTTGATCGTAGGTTCCTCTTAGGGTCGTGTAATGGGAGAGGCAAATATTGGGAACCTAGGGCAGAAACCCCCTATATTCCTTGGCTATAACAACTGCTACGATTTTTAAAAGGACTGATGCGAAGACTTGTGATTTTCCTGATGCTCCGTCTCATCAACAGTATCATATAGGCCCCGGTTATTGTTGGTTAAACTCTTCTCTTAATAGCATATGTTATCAGATAGGTAGGATAACACTGTTCGTCATTAAAAATGACAAAAATTGATGGGCTTGATTCATTATCAACGCATGAATCATATAGATCACTAGCGGGATTGCTAGGGTCTTTTAAAGGAGGTCGATGGAGTGATTCATCTCCTTGCTTAAACTCTCCGGTTAACACTCGAGCAAGGAACATAAATCTTGTCATTCCACTGCAGTAGTTGTTACTATATGAGGCCTTAACGGCAAAATAGCTTCCTTTACCGTATTTTGTGCCGTTTTTGCCGTGACACCTGTGGTCAAAATTGTGCTTGCAGATGGCGTCAATGACATCTGAACTGGTGCCGTGGAAAAGAAGCCTCTCCACATTATCGTTGTCGGAGACTTTAAGTATATTCTTGATTTGTTCTCTCTTCCTGAAAATACATCCACCGTATACAATTTGTAAATGGAATGAACTCATTACAGTTAAATTCAGTTGATTTAATGAAATTGCGGAATAAACTGTGGGTGTTTGGAGAAGACTAAGGGCTCCGCATATACATTATTTTACATGACTTTAATTTCCGCATTCAGAAATGTTTCAGGATTTATTGCATTTTAGATATTCAGACACACATCAGTTAATCCAGGAACGGTTATTCGGTTGAAGTATTCCGACATTTAAGATTCTGGATTTAAAGTTCCTGGAAACGCGTTCAAACGGTTTGTATTTCGTATTCATGTATCTGCATCTAGCAGCAAAACGAATCCAGACACCAAAAGATAGTTAAAAAAAAATTTAAAAAATCCTCTCTAGTGGATACCTCGTCTGGTACTCAAGGGAGACTTTCAAGGCCGAAAGACTGAAAAATAAACTTTTTGGCTAAGGAAAAACTGAAATTAACTGGTAAGAAAGTGCCTTTATAGCTTTCAAGGACCACGCGGTTGAAGTGGATTGCAACTTTTTAATTTCATAAGTAGGTTAAGTATGATTTGGATATGATCGTCACATATGTCGCAAAGTCAGACTCTGCGACATTTATTACGTATTCTACAGACTACTAATCAACGACTCACTGGTTTGCTAACTTAGAGCAAACACCACTGAATAGTAATCAACAGTTACCAGCACCGTACAAGCGACTTACTAACGGGATCAAGCAAAACTAACTTCGAGAAAAAGACTGTTTAACTGTGAAAATAGACGGATCGAAACTCACCAATGGCATTACGAGTCTTCATTAATAGCGAATAATATCACGGCTTAACTGACAGACGACCAATAACATCGCGACTTAATTTACCAATCAGGGGTCAATTTAATAAAACTTTTACAGTTGTAATTTACAAGTGTAACTATTGTTTTAGGGTCCTAAAACAATAGCTAAACTAGTAGACTAAGCTTGTAAAAGTTTTATTAAATTGATCCCAGGTCAATAACCAAAGTTTAATACCATCAACTGACGTGATACAGCTCACTTTGACTCTGAGGATCACTACCGCACAGGTTGTGGAAACGTCAGTCACTGTCAACAACAACATTCCTATTCAGGACTACGTTCACCCGGGCGATCAAACTCAACCTACATATGAAATGACTCCTGGGTTCAAACCTTTCAAAACTTGTTTACTTGTTATAAAAAAAAGAATTGGGCCACCATTTTCAATTTCAACTTTTGTGTCACCGAAAAATTAAGAAAAATTGTCATGCTTAGTTTTTCTCTTTCAGAAAATCTCTTTTTATTTTTCTTTCAGCGTTTATAATGCTAAATAATGATGAGTGAGGATAGCTGGCTCTTATTTCAGCTCACTCTTGACCGAATCAATAATGTGAATTGACCTTGACCTCATAGTCCGTACGGTAAAAGACCCAATTCTTTAATACACTTAAAGCTACAATTGTACGTGATAACGGACGCAACAACTCCCAACAATCTTGTGTCCCTTTGCACGAGGCTAAAAGTTTCACCGGGTGTTTCAAACTTTGCGCAACAACTCCCAACGACACGCAACAACATGTAACAGGGTGTGCACACGGACGCAATATGTAGCATTTTTGATCCAACAATGTTTGGAGTTGTTGGCCAACAATGTTGCATCCGTTTGCACTTTCCTTAAGAATACAGAATTTAAGTCTTGTTCATACATTTACCATACCTTTTGTATCTCTCATTTAAGAAAGCATTTTTTATTTTCTCGATCACAGTTATCTTTGCCGTGCGTTTTAGGATTGTTTTATGAAACAGCGTTTCCACCTTTTTGAATTCCTCACTATCTGTTGACAGGGGGATTCGTTTGAAGGTATTGTCATGACCCATAAGACGTCTGCTAATGGCTTGAAAGATGTTAGAGACTCTGGGAAATGAGTTGAATAGGCTGAAAAAACTGCAAAATGGAAGAAAAAAAACCGCAAGGTTATTACTTTGTTTGACTTATTGTATCAAGCGTCACTCTTTTATAGGGTGGTCAGTTTTAGAGGTCATCGAAAGACACGAACTGGGAGTTTACAACACTGGTGCCATAAAAACTGTGTGTATTCAGTCAACCGTTTCTTTTGAAAACGAGATGTCTGTTTTTTAGAGGCAATTAAAAGGAGTAAAGAAAGGCAGGGACCAACTCTAGGTGTCCTTTTTGGCGACGTGTCCGTCTCATAGGTAGTCAGCTTAAACGAGAAAACAAAGACAGTGACCAGTTCTAGGTGCCCGTTTCATCGAGATGTCTGCCTTTATATGAGAGTGAACTAAACGGAGTAAAGAAAGGCAGGCAGTCTAGATGTCACAGCGAGATATCCGTTGAGAAAAAAGTTGACTGTATCTGTTACTCTTCCAACAATCAATATGTTCTGGACTATTTAATTTGGTAAAAATATGGAGGTAAAATGAAAAAAAAATCATCAATTTTCAATGACCCATTTGCAGCCGTACATCAGCTAGCCTCCCACGCAGACGTTCTTAGGGGCTCGTGGGATGAGAGAAACATACAGCTCAGGCATCATCGTATATCGAAATTCTCAATTTAAGTGATATACCATATAACGCGAAATTAACGATGCACGTTGACAACGTCAAGAAGATTTACGTTACAGAAAATTAACGCAAATTTGCCAAAAGTTTGGTTCATATACATTACTGAATTAACGCGAAATTTTCGAAAACGGTGTGCGCCTAGCTTAATTGATTAATTATTTTACGCGAATTTGCTGTATTACAAACTTCTCAACATACATATCTAAAGGAAAAAACAGCAGCATTTCCAGTCATTGTTATCTCATTGTTATCATGTTACTTCTCCGTAATTGGATCTAGAGAGGGAACGCTCCCTTGGATCCTGGCATTTTCTTGTGCCTCGGAGGGAAGACTTCAAATAGTGACTCTGAGGCGTTGATAGAGGAACTATTAGCAGACGAGGTTTCGTTATTGAAAAGGTGCTGTAAAACAACAACGATGTAGAATAGTGTGATTTAAATTAACATCGACGTAAATTAAGATGCATTAAATTAATGCGATTTAAACAAAAATCGCGTTAATCAAGTGCATCCTTAATTTCCTATACTGAATAATGTAATTTCCTGGTTTGTGCTATCCCAGCGATTCCTTGCTCTCCAGCTATTGTACTACGTGACCTAGCCATACACTGCAGTTTAATTAGTGCCCATGCCAATTCCGCAGCACATACTAACTCCATCCCCTCCCGGCCCATGGATTTAAAAATGGAAATTAAAAACCAACGGAACCTGACCTTGTACGGGAATGAACCTCTGACTCAGCAACAAACTTTGGTCTTCTTCTGACGCTTCTCTCGGTCCGGTAATTGGGATCCATATTCCTTTGACGCATCGACTTGTCATATAATGTTATCATGTATTTACGTCGGTTTATGTGAAAGAAGTAAAATCCCTCTTCGTTAAGATAGTCAGCCTCTATGTTTTCTTGTGCCATCTCACGTGAGATCTAAAAGCACAACACAAAATTTGCGTTATGATATTAAAAAGAATTTTGCGTCCAGACTAGTGTAATTCTTTCCACGAATGGCGGACAGAAATAAAATCTTGGGCCAGCGGTTTTCTCTCCTTTATCCTACTTTCAAGCAAAAATTTAAAAAATTTAAATTAGGGAAACGAAATAACACATTGATAAATACGAAGAACAATAAGGATCAGGACTATCCAAAGTCTTGTGTAAAACATCAAGTGAAATTAAATCGTTTAGCTGTTCTTGTTATGATAATAATATCATAGGTGACGAATTACTCCTTAATTTTGGCGCGAAATTTCAGCGTTAATTTGTAATTTCACATGTGAAATTACTAAATTGCCATGGCAACCTACCGTACGTCTCAGTGTCAAGATGGCGACGAAGTTTTAAAATGTCATGAATGAAGATGTCAGGGCATAAAAAGACGCTTTAGAAAACCTGAACACACGAAACAGCACATCAAGAAGGATTCTTAGAGGTATGTTTTCGAAAAATTCTGAAAACTTAAGCCAAATTTCAGCTCTAAACGTTTGAGAGAGTGGAGTTCACGATCGATCGATACGATCCAGCATAAATAAGTCAAAAATCCTCGATTGCTAACGTAATTCGTCACCCATGATATTAATAGGTAATCAAATGGCATACTCGTGAAATTAGGGAATAATTTCTCGCGCGTTTTGTCCAAATCCTAATAATTTCCCTCACCTTTCCTTGAAAAATGTCAATCAAAATTTATATCGAAAACAATGGAGAATATAACAATTGATTCGTGATAATGAACCCAAAATGTTAGGAAATGGTTGTTGTCAATTTAATGTCAGTTTAATCCTGGAGCTTAAAAGATAGCAAACATGCTTTTTAAAGCAGAAAGGGTGCTGCCTCTTCATGACAAGGAGAAATAAGCTGGAAAGAAAAATGTTATCAGATCAATTCTGCAAGTCACGTGACCCACCTGACAAGTTAAGTGAGTAACGTTTTTACTCACCCCTTGCACCCCCAGATCTGAATACTAAGAGGGCTGATAAGAAGTGGGATAAGGTTGCTACTTCACACTTCATTAAATATAGCAATCATGTCATTTAAGCTGCCAGTTTCCTACCAACAATAGATATTGAAAAAAGTTCGACAAAACTTACTTTTCCATCGTATTCTTTCCATCCATTATCGTCTTTCCAGTACCAAATCCACTTCGTGGCCAATCTTTTACCAGGCGCCTGGATGTAAGACGGCGTGGACAGTCGGCGGAGTGAAACCGTGGCAGATTCGCACTGCATAGTCATGTTTTCAAAGTTTATTGTAGCATTAACTTCTCCCTGGCTTTGATTTAAAAGAAAGTGCAAACTAAGTTTCTTGTGAAATTAAGTCAAAACGGTTCAGAAAAATCGACATTTACGGACAAGGTGCACGTGGGGCAAGCAAAACATCCAATTAACGCGCCTGCACTCATGTTATGTGCTAACTGTTTACTATGACTGTATTCCTCAACAGACAACACCTTACCCCGGTGTGAAATGAACAAGTCGCATCTCCAGTTTTTCCACGTCACAATAACACTTTTCAATGCCAACATTAGCTTCAGGACTTAGCCTTGTCCAGGCGTCGGTGGTTGACTGTCGAAACTGCCAACAATAAGGCAACGGACAGTGCTTGTACAAGCAATTGGCACCCATTGTACATTTACCAAGAGGAGCGTCGGGGCAGATTATTGTTTCCACCGTATTTCCTTAAATGAAAAAAAAAGGACATTTGGTTGATGGCTAAGTAGGTTACATCTCTGAAGCCTCACCAATACTAAGTTTAATTCTTAACTCTTTGGCGACCCCAGCTAGAAACGAGAAAAAAAAAACTCTAAAGCAATATTTTTTTTGTAACAGTTTTTCCAAAGTGTCCACCTTAAGGTCTAAACCAGTTGTGGAGTTAAAAACGGTTTTGCATTAAAATCGATTGGAGCAAATAGCCTTCGCTCTCTGACGCAGGTAATAAATAAAAATTAAGGAAGTCAACAAAGGAAACTAAACAGGTGTGCCGACGAAGTCTTTGAGCCCTACCTTCTCATGACCCTGCTTCATTTTATGTGGCACATTGAATAAAGTATTTGTCATCAAAGTAATATATAGATTTAGCCACGGCTAAAAGCGAAGCTCCCATTCAAAAGTGAAGTGATTTTGGAGTGAAACAAATCTTGTATCGAGTTGATATAGCCTTATATGTACACCCAAAAAGGTGTACGGTCAAATTTAAGAGCAATAATGGCTCTTGATCACAGTAGATAAGGCGTGGAGAACAAATCAGGCCGATTTTTTTGCGATCGAAAAGTTTACAAATTCTTGCCAATAAATCTGGGTGCGTGCAAACCAATCTTTTATTTTTTTTTAATACACCACATCTGAGGAGAAAGAGTACTATGAGGCGCTGTTTTTATCATACAGACCTCGTACAAAATGCAGTATTTCACAATTTTTCAAGACAAATTGGATTCATTCAATATTCAGGACCATCGAAGCACGCGTGGACTTTTAATTAGCGAAACCGTTCAAAAAATTTCCAAAATTACCTATACGGCCAGCCGGTTCTAACTTTTGACAAGCGCCAAATTTGCGAAGAAATTTTAAAAGAGTTACGCTTCAACGTGATAAAGACTTTATTGAGTCTATTTTTTATTCATGGTTTTATAACGATGTGTAACCTTAAAAAGCGTTTGATACGCTCGGGATTTTTAGTACTCCTGCAAGCGATGTTTATGAACGGCTGAAAACAAACGGCAAATCGATGAAAATTACACTTTTGAGACTACCAACAATCAATAAAGAAATATAATTCGGTAGAAGATTTACAGAGAAAACAATTTTCATTCACGAAAACAAATGAGTATTTAATTGTCTCTAAGAATCCTCAAGTCTTTACTAGTAAGCTTAAAGATTAAGTTTTTGTGTTAAGCCGCCGGTTTCCCGGGCCTGTTTGCTGTTTTCAAAGATGAACTCAGGACAAGAAAATCGCTCAAAGCTGTCTTTCTACAGCCAAAATTATAACTAAATATTCTTCGGAAAGTGTTTTCTTTCTATTTACGGTGAATTAATATCGACTGAAGGCTTTTTAAAGTTCCGTAAGCTTAAGCTTATATCAAACCTCATACTTGGTCAGATCAGTGTCTCAGTCAAATCTTAATACAAACGTGCATAAACTAGCTTCATAAACTGCGCCGCTGGACTTCATGAAATTAGATATAAATGCAACAATTGCTCAGGCTTACCATATTTCGAGATGCAGCTCCTGAAAGCTGTCAAGTAAGGCAAAGATCGCTTGAGCCTTTTATAATTCTCGCACGCATCCAGCAAGGTGAAAAACAAAAACGATGCCATCCGAAATCGGATTATCGGCTTTGACAAGCAACGCATTTCTCAACGAAAAACCCAATAAACACACTTGATAGCAGCTGTATTTCATTCTGTACATCCAGTGGAAAAAGACAGTTAAAAGCATCATAAGTTGACTCAAAACTCTGTCAGCTTCAGCTGTCAAAGTAAACAACTTTCAAGATGCATAAATTTTACGCATGAATTCACCTGTCAAATTTTAACCAATCAGAGCATAAAAATTGGACGAGGAGCGTGACCAACACTTGACCATGGTAAGAAAAGGTCTTCCCGCCTGGCTGAATTTTTGCGTCTGAGGTCAGTTTGAAATCAAAATCGTAATAGTGAGGGGCGATACTGACATAAACACAACATATTTGATTTGAATTTTAAAAAAAGTAAACGAGAGCCCGCAATCATTTGAAAACGAATAAATTGTCAGCGGATAACTTCAAAAAATACTCGACCTTGATGGGTCGACACCTGAGCCCGCGATACGGTCAGGTGATACTGGTCAGCGGATACCCTGTTTTGACAGCTGTCAATTGATGACAACATTGATGTGCAATCAGCTAGCTTCCTCCTGGGCTCCCAAAGTAGCTAGAAAGTGTGAGAGTAAACATTGGTATGCCTGTGGTGCGGACGGACGGTCGGTCGTTCGGTCGGTCACGTGATTACCAAATTTTCTGGGATGGGTAGATTACCTTAGCTATGGGGCTCCGCCCAGGCGCGCGCTTCGAGCTCCGCTATTAGGTTGTTTTAAAGAAATTAACGCATGGAGACCGAGCAGCGCCAACGTTCACCCCCTGTTTGAGGTTTCTGGACTAGAAAAACGCCCTATCCAAGACATCAAAGTGTGAAATTGTACCCTATTCAACCTGTATTCAAGACTTTTTTAGTGTAAATAGGGATGTGCGCCCCTTGTCCCGGGTTTAGCGGTCTATTACCCAACCCTGAGCACACAGGCAAAACTCTAGCCTCGGCCCCAGTTGATCAAAAGGTAGATAGTGCTGATTTATCCAGTGGATAGTGCAATCCAACGTCTGAACAACTGGGGCCAGGACTTTTGCTGTGGGATCTCCTTTACTCGTTGATAGCTTCTATCAGCGCTTTTAAACTCACCGCTCATATCTGAAAATTGCAACACCGTCCATCGCCGATCACTCGATTGAGTGATCAGAGAACGATTTGCTTTAATTATCCGCCGTGGGGCCTCAGTAGATTGGTTATGAAAGACAAGAAAGAGCGAATGAAAAAGGATAGTATATACCAGGTCTTTAAACAAACATCTGAACCAACAAAGGGTGGTCTTATACAGCTATCAATGTTATGCCCGAGGGGGGGGGGCACGGGATCGTGCTTTCCATCTTCTTAAATTGGTTCCTTTAGCAACCATCGTTCCTCTTTATTGATGTGATTGTAAACAAACACTTTCACATCAATCTACAGCAAGAGGAACAATAATAACTTCAAGACAAGAACCAAGATCAACTTTGACACTGTCGAAATTGAAATGAAATCAGTCTCGATTCTTTGAAAATCTGGAACGCTTGTACATGTCAGAGTGGTAATATTTTCAGGTTTGTGAATTCATCACCTGAGTTCAAGTTATTAAAGAAAACAAAATCAAATTGAAGCTTGTTTTGGAGGTTTTATGAGCATAGTAAATTTATTTAAAGAGAGGAGAGCTCGCCACTACCGTGGACCGGAGCAGCGCCAGCTATGATCCCGGTTATGATGCAAGCACATATTCTTTACCTCATTCGGATTGAAATTCCCGCTCTGGTGGGTAACTTTGAACTCAAAACCTTACCCTGAGATGGGGAAGTTTGAATTGAAATCTTATCCCAAGGGTTGGGAAGTTTGACCCCAAATATTTGTTTTTGACTGATCAACGGTCCCCACCCTATCCCGTAGTCCCCGGGCCCCTTTGCTTGGGCATAACATTGATAGCTGCATGCATTACATACAAACCCGCTGTTAAGTTTTTGGAGCTAAATCCCAGCTTACCCTGTTTACGACGACGCCAAGCCAGAATAACCAGAAAAAAGGGCGCAGCTGCAACAATGAGTGCAATAACGCCACATACGGGAGACTGCGAGTTGCTCCTGATGAGTGCAGAGGCAGGGAGTGAATCTGATGTGGCAACACGAAATCCATTCAGTACGGAGGAAGCACTCCTGACGAACAACCAAGAGACGAAAGTAACCGCTGAACTTGCCTTTGAGGCAACAAACACGAGAAAGAGACATGTCAAGCGCACTCCAGCGAAAAAACCGGAAATCAGCCAAAAACAAAGGAAAATTAGATTGTGCATTAAGATCATCCCTTGCCTGAAAACTAGCCACAGACCAAGCTGCGCCAGAGAGTAAATCATCATCATTATTCTCCAGTAGTAAGGTCGAAAGTGGTAGGCGAATTCAATTGCAAACGTGGTCATCAGCAACATCACTGCAGCATTGAAGCCCACTACCAAAGCATACCCGACTGAAGAATGAGCACTCCAGCGATCCAAAACGTCTTGAATGGACCTTTTACGCTCTAAGTAACCCTTGCGGAGCGGAACAAAGGATCCTTTAATCTTTTCGCAGGCAGCGTTCACAACCGGGATGACCTTGAAATATTGCTGCTTCCAAATGAACAAAATTGTGGCTACAATTGATTTGACAATGTTTAGTGATTTCCTCCAAACGCTTAAAGTAGAGGAACTGTAATTCTCAGTCATGGCTCTGGCCGTGTGAGGGCTCAGAACTTCTTCGGCAAATGCTTTGCTTTTCTCCTTTCACTTCCGTGCTGGATGGCAGAATGCTCCGTGGTATGACGCTTGTATGAACATAACAATTTCTCAGAAATCCGAAAACGGAAATGCTGAATTGCAGTACCTGAAGAGACAGGTTCCTGATGGAAATTCTTATATCCAAAACGGTATTTTTAAAGTGGCTCTACAACGACGATGTTTATACAAGCGCCCCCTTTCGGATTAACGCTCCCCTTTTGGCATAAAATATAAAACTAGTGATAATTGCAAATTAGAAGAGTGCGTGTGATGGGGAGGGTGGGTGGGGGCAGTGAGTAGTAGTCGTAAGGGGGTGCAAAACTTGATGAGCTGGTAAGATTGAGAAATCAAAATCAAGCACTTTTATCAATAACTAGACATTATGGCAGACATAATGTAATTTATGGCAAGGCATGATACTCACATGATAACTCGTTAGGTCAGGCTGTACCAGGTACTGCAAATCTAGCCAATTAGGTTATAGGGCGGTGTCAGGGTTAAGTAGGTATATCGAGGTATTTTTCCCAGTAATTCTTCCTTCTCTTCCTCGTCATCAACTCGGTCAGATCTCGAGCAAAATTCTTTCCCTCCTCCTCCCCTTTCACCTGCCTGCGGGTTATTATTCTGAGTCACCGTACTTCCTATTTTTTCTTTTTTCCTTTTCTTAAATATTTAGTTTTGTAGTTTGTGACGGATTTTTGTCGCCCCATTTTTTATTCAGTAGCTTCATCGGTTTACATATATCGATGTGTTGTGATTCAGTGTTAGCTTTGATTTCATTAAACCTGCCACAATCGTGGCCAGATTTATCCAACACAATTGTTTGTTTATATGTTAGTTCTGTTCCTTATCGGAAAGTATGTAACCGGAAATGCAAGCAGAGCTCGCGCAGAGTTGGGCCATGTTTTGAACACATGCCTTGATATAAATGAATATCAGCAGCCCTCTTTATCAGTGTTATTGCTTATCATCCCACTTTACAATTCGTTACTATTAATTTTTCCTCAAAAATGCAGTAACAACAGGTCAACACGAGGAGCCGCAAGCAGTAAAATTTCTGTCCCGTAATTTAATCAGTTAAATCATCAAAGTTGACAGGTCTTTCTGATGATCAAAGCGACCGTTCGGTTTACCATTTACACCTTCAGTGCGAAGACTGTCACGGGAACATTAACACCTTCAGGATAATTGCTTTCCATAACAGTGGTAGGTCGCGCGCGTCTGGTCGGTTTCGAAGAACGTGATCGTGACTGTTGTTTTCATTCAGTGACTGTGCGCGTTGATATGCCAGCGTTTAAAACAGACTGCAACATTAAATTTTTGTTATAAAAGCAAAGAAGCTGCTGAGTAGAAACTAAACCGTCCCAGTCTTATTCCGTTTCATTCGTGTACTTTCATTTTGATGGGGTCTGTATGATGAATTTACTTCTGCCTTCTAATCAGGCACGTAAACAACATAGAGATAAAACATTTCATTTTGCTTTTGTGGAGTAAATTCATCTTAAAAAATTTTAACTAGTGGACCACTTTCTCCGCGTACTTGTAAAAATAGGCATTTAATATGTCGCGCTACACTGCGAAAATCTTCTTGTTGTGGATTAGATTTCAGTATACATAGTCTTCATGATCATTTCGCGCCAGAATAAATTAGTTTGCGCGCAAAAAAAAGATCACAAGGTTTGTCCCACGTCGAGTCCACCTTCTGGAGATACGCCGGTATGGTAGCTGGAATACATTGCCGAGGCGAAGATCTGGCATTTTTTCCTCCTCGTCTTTTTTTCTCCGCGACGTTTGTTTATATTTGTAGTGAGAATGCCGCGCATATCGGTGGATTTTACTTCAGTCAAGCGGCTTCAGTTCCTGCGGCTTGCTACTCATCATAAAGAAGAGTGCCGGAATCGCTTTGTTCGCCTTTAACAGATTTGTTGTCGAATGCAAGGTAAAAGAACGGACTACTGTAAGGTAAGAATTGAAGTTTAAATTTGTTTCTCGGCGAAAAATAGTGCATACAACTCGTGAAACCCGTGAGTATTACCTCTGTTTAATATACCGGATGTCATGCGATGACCCCTCGCTTTTACGATGGATAGGACGGATACAAACAATAATTTCTTTCGCAACGTTTAGTATCATTTACTTAATATGGAGATCATCTGAGGACGATTTTTCGTTATATATGCTTCATTTCTTGGCTTATTCCGGCTACGTGCGAAAAATTAGATGACAATGTTTGTGTGCTATAATTATACTGATAATTTCTTGCACCTTGAAACTCATGAAAGCCAAACTTGTTAAACCCTAGCAAAAAACTCTTTTAATGGATGAACTCAACCTGATAGTTGCACTAAAATCTAATAATTGTTACTGCATTTGCATGCTCTCTGTAACCTCGTGGGTAGAACATACCTGATGGTTACATTAATAATCACTGCTTTTGCTCTCTGTAACCTCGTGGGTAGAACATACCTGAAGGTTACGTTAATAATAATCATTGTACTTTCTCTTTGTAACCTCGTGGGTAGAACATACCTGATGGTTACATTAATAATATCACTGCATTTGCTCTCCGTAACCTCGTGGGTAGAATATACCTGACGGTTACATTTAATAATAAACACTGCATTTGCTCTCTGTAACCTCGTGGGTAGAACATACCTGAAGGTTACGTTAATAATAATCATTACATTTTCTCTTTGTAACCTCGTGGGTAGAACATACCTGATGGTTACATTAAAAATAATCACTGCATTTGCTGTCCGTAACCTCGTGAGTAGAGTATACCTGATGGTTACATTAATAATAATCATTGCATTTTCTCTTTGTAACCTCGTGGGTAGAACATACCTGATGGTTACATTAAAAATAATCACTGCATTTGCTGTCCGTAACCTCGTGAGTAGAGTATACCTGATGGTTACATTAATAATAATCATTGCATTTTCTCTTTGTAACCTCGTGGGAAAAAATTAATGCCTCTCTCCTGGAAATTTTGCCCTGTCCTTTGAGCATAGTGATCTTTGGGTAGCGAA